AGTTACGGAAAATCAATTAACAAACGGAGACGTAACACTATTTTGCTTTGAGATCATTATTTTTGACTCTTTGTCAAAACTAGAGTATAATCTAAAATAAATTATATTTAGAGTAAGTTTATACTAGTTGTAGATTTCTAAGAAAGACAGCTAAGAACATTTTTAAGGTTTTTTTTATTTTACATAAGTTGTAATGCTAAAAAATACCATATTAATATTAAGCAGTCTGATTTTAGATTAAATATTTATTCTTTTAAACTAATTGTCCTGAGGATTATGAAAACTGACAAATTATTGTACTCGGTAATGTTCATTTTTTATTCTTTTACAAACTGAGTTTGATATACTTTGAGGAAGTTGTGTACTGTATGCAGTTTTACAAAAACAATATTCATTTGTTACCATCTTTTTCAAAAGATGTATTGCCATGACTTTATTGAGCAGTTTGAGTCATATGAAATATACATCAACTTAAAACCATTATGATATTTTAATGTATCACTTGTGAATTTAATATTGTCATCCTATATTCTCTGTAGCTTTTAGTAACTTATGAATAGTGTTTTAAAAAAATCCTTTGTATGTAGCATTCACTGCAAATGAAAAATTTAATATTCAGTATGTGAGACATTTGTATAAGGGTTTTAATTTATCTTGTAAATATCAGCATCACTCACTCTTTCTCATGGTTTAATTTCAGCTTTTTGCTCTTTTTATTAACATCAAATTTACATTTTGTGGTTATGCTACTAAATGGACATTTGAAACATTGGTTTTAAATAGCTAATTGAAGTTTTGGAAAACGTCTAATTGCATAAAGAAATAACAATAGTTATTGCATGAAATTTCTTTCTAGGTAAATTTATCAGTACCTAACTTAATTATATGTAAAATACAAAATATATTTTTATGATGGAACTGTAAGAGGCTTTTTTTTTCTAGAAAGATGTATTTGGAATTTTAAAGTCAGTGATGGAAGCAGCTACAAGCAAGCCACCACCAGTAGGTCTTTGTTCAAATCCACAGTCTCGAGCTATGTATGCTGTGGACATGATGCTGGAATGGGACCATAGTAACCCAGGTGATAAACATATTATTGACATTATTTTCACTGATTATTGTAAAATCAGTGTCTCACAACAAAGAATTTTTTGAGGATACTAGCAACTATATTACATAAATTAAGTATCTTACAAGCAGTAAATGTGGCCCATTTCTGTAGATAACATTTGAGTTGTACTGAACACAATGCATTTTATTAGATTTTTCAGAGAACTTGTAGCAAATTTATTTCTGATACATGTTAATATTTGTCTAGCATGAATAACTGATTGATTTGAATTCTAATATTTGATGCATGCAGGTTTTACATTCAGTGCTGTTTTTGACAATGTGTATTAATGTACAGGTTTACGTACTAGGTTTTATATTTAATGATTTTTGACATTTTGATTTTAAATTAAGTTAACATATTTTCATGTTTTTTAAAATGCATGTCACCTCACTGACTTTCAAGTTGGTAGACATCTGTTCTGTAAAAGTACTTTAATGTATATAATAAATGACACTTTTAGAAATGATTATCCTTAGGGTTGAGTCAAACTGTCTAAATTCATGTTTCTTAATACATTTTGTAATAAAGTTAACAACAATAAATACTTTTCTTTTTCATCAAAACCATGTTATCTGATACACAAAAATTGTATTAATATTTTTTATTGACAAATTCAAGTAATTATAATTATAAAATTTAATGTTTCACATGTTAAACTTTATTACACTGTCATTGGAATGTGTTTGACCCTGTTATTAATATCATCAGTTTGATACTGGTAGGTTTCTGTAACTATACTTAGTTTAGAGTATTTTATTACAATGATGTATAGATAGCTCTCGTGTAGCTTTGCGCGAAATTCAAAAAACAAACAAACAAACTGTTTGCTCTATAATAATCTGTTTACGTACAAGTGTATATTGTAGTTTACAGCTTGAATTATGATTCAGGTTGCACGGAGTGATGTGGAAAGGCCCGTTCTACTGTATTTAGTCCACGATTGAGTAGTACCAAACGAGTTGGTTTTTTGGCTGAAGGCTGGTAGTAAAGTAATAAACAGTTTGTACGAGCTTTAATTATTAGCTATGATACTGAATATAATTTGTCATTTGTTACTGTAAATGCACCATTTTTGACATGTCATGTACTATAGGCACATTTATTATTTGATACTATGTTACGTAGATTTGAATGTTAGTAGTAGTGAAGGATTATGTTAATTTGTGAAATATAATTTATATGAGTTTGTTCAAGTAAAATGAAGTCATGTCTATTAACTTGTTTTAGAATAAAAGAAAACGTAGTATATCTACTATTTGCTAGTCAGTTTGGTTTATAATTATTTTTATTTGTTCAATTCAACTACTTCTAAGTTTGGGGGATATTACTGAATATTTTCTCAGTAATCATTCTTTAAAAGATTAGCTTGTACATACTTTTTACGTGAGCTACATGAATATAGTTTTTAATTTAGGAATGAAGTAGGCATGTCATCATTTAGTTTTATTCGTTTTCAGTAACGTTAGTCCAGGATTATGCAAGTGTACAGTCGAAGCATATATCATTATTAAATTGGTTTTAAAGTCAAAATAAATAATGGATCAGGATGGCCCTGAGATGAAGGAGAAAACGGTAACTGGAAATTATTATGTTCTTAACTCTTCTATAACTAGTTTATAAACAAGGCTTATCTAAGGTTTATTCGAGCAACATTGTTAACAATTTTCTTTTGTTTTTCTTATTTTTAGTTAGTGTCTTTATAAACATGATATAGTGAACTTTATGTTGTTGTCTTAGTCAGATTACTAGACCAGCAACACATAATTGAGGCTACTGTTTTCAGTTTTCTTAACACAGTTTGACTTCATTTTTTTTTTCTGCCTAGTGAAAACATTTTTACTGTAGTAACTATTTCATCTTCTGACATTAGATGTACGCAAAGTTCTGGAGTCATTTTACAATAAAAAGACATGAAGTCTAACCTGATATCAAGGGCCATTTTGCGTTATTGTAAGTTTCAATAAAATGTTTTGTTGTTTCGATGTGAAACAGATAGCCCTCTGTGTAGCTTTGTGCATAACTACAAACAAACAAACAGTTGAAGAAATATAACGTTTTCTTTCATCAAGTGGCCTGGACTTTGCATTATTTTTACCGAAAAGTTACAAAAAGGAACTCGTCCATTGATAGAAGCCATTACAACTACATAATTAAAAAGTAATAAACAAATACTGATAATGCAGAACAACACTTTTTTTATATTTGTACCAATAATCAATTTGCAAAATCATACAATACATTAAATGACAACAATATATCTGAAAGTATAATAAACATGTTTTGAATATATAAACGTAAAAATCAATTATTTATTTTATTTCCTGTTTTTAATATTTTCTTGATACAAAATTACAGAGGACTGATAATAGTATACATGATTCTTCCCGTGTTATTAAAGTACGAACAAAACATATCTTATTATAGCATTTGGTTTATTAAAGACTTATAATAGATTTAACTATAGAAAAACAGCGTTCAATGTTTTGCTAAATACATTTTAGAGCTCAGTGTATCGAATATACAACGTAACAGTAATAATATCAAATTTGAATAAATTCGTTAATATTCACAGAATGAACTATTTGATAAAGCTTCCCCATAGATTATTTACACTGTACTGAATAGATCTAGATGGATTACACACCTGCAAGTATAGCAGTATACGTGTATTATAAATTCAACATCATGAAGCACTGTTATAAATTGTACTTCTGGTGTTCACACACACACAAAAGCTACATGCATCCAGTCACAGAACCCTCGCACAACGATTAATTTTAAGATGCGTTGTATTATGTTTCTTTATGATGAGAAAATGTCGAACTTTTACTATCAGTGCAATTCAAATCTATAACAATTCACCATAAGCAGAGATATAAGATATAGCTAGATAACGTACATATTATGCATGAGATAATAAAATAATTAAAATTAAATAATAGGTTGAAGAATCGCCAGGTTTTATTATGTTTTTATTCAAAGAAGGGTGACGTTTCGAGCCAGCGATCTTTGTCGGATCGTACTGCTTACAACCAATCGTACAATAATTAACCAATCTTTTCGAAAGTTGTTTTCTATGTGAACAATTGATCATAAGAGTAATATATGTTAGCTTTTCAGAAATACAGGCAGGTAAGCAAATAAAAGTAACTATATATCTGAAGCACCAAACAGGCAGAATTCTTAGAATTATTGTGAAATGCAAACAAACAAAATGAAAAACGTGCAAGTTTAAAACTTGACATGCAGCTTTAAGCCAATTGAGAGCAATTAAAAATCAGGTCTTGTTTGTTTGTAATTAAGCATAAAGCTACATAATGGGTTATCTATGATCTGCCCACCACGGGTATCGAAACCCGGATTCTAGCGTTGTAAGTCCGCAGACATACCGCTGTGCCACTGGTGGCAATCACGTCTTGAATTTTGCATAACAAACTTGATGTTAATAATGTAGTCTTCCCCCCCCCCCTGATGAAAGGCAGGGTTAATGAAATGTCTTTTATTTAATATTATATTAGTCGATAAAAATATTGTTTTTCGTATTATTTTAGTTTCCTGTCGCACCGATTCTATTTCCTCTTTTTTTTCTGTTTTGATTGATATCGCACTGTATTAATAGTTAACAAAAATATCAATTAAAAATTTTATTAAAAAGGCTAACTTAAATTTATTTAGAAATTCGTGAACGTTCAGTGATTTCAATCACATTGGTTTATTCTCTTGAAATTACGCTCGTTAAGATTTTTTCACATTTTAAATAATTTTTCTTATCTGCAATAGCCGTTTCTAATTTAGCAGGGGTAGACTAGAGGGAAAGCAGCCAGTTAACATCACCTACCGCCAACTCTTGGGCTATTTTATCAACGAAGAGTAGGACTGACCATCACATTATAACACTCTCACTGCTGAAAAGGCGAGCATGTTTGGTGACGGAAATTCGAACCCACGACCCGCAGATTGCGAGACGAGTGTCTTAACCACCAGGCCCACTTATGTATAAATTCTGGAGAAAAATAATATTTTCTTTAGCTTAAGTTTCCCGCAGGTTAGTCGCCATATTTGGCATACACATAACTGAACATATCATATGGCACAAAAATATTAACATACTCCAGCAACAAAAAGTAACACTTTTTCTATCAAATACCTTTCACGTGAGCGAAGTGGCTAGTGTGTTAGATAAATAATAAAAAAGCATCCGTTGCCTCGTTAAACTCCATCATTTATCAAGAATATTTGAAACTTTAGCTAAAGAAAACCCGATTCAACACCTTTACTCACTGTGATGAACGTGAAATAAACGGATTATGTCAGGAATGTAAGTTTTATTCTTCTGAAGAAGACATTTGAAATCTGTGTCTTATCCCACAGACCCAGAATACTTATAGAATTTGAAGTGTCGGTGAATAAACACTGCTTTTATAACTTATATGATTGGTAGTTTGATCCCTGTTCTTTTATTTTAACCTAGTTTCGAGATGGATTACGTCTAGACATTGATTAATATTTTACTTTTCTGGAACTTACAGTCGCAATTAATCCTTATATGAACTGTTGTTAGCTGTTTCTAGATTGCGCATATTTTGTTTTTGTTTAATTCTGACGGAATACAAGAAAAACAATAATAAATGAAAACCTAAAGTGAGGAAATCATTGACTGGTTACTTGATTAAAACTTAACATTGGATTAAACCATCTTTCGCAGGATTACTAGCTCGGACTTTTCGTGATAGAGATTTCACAAGGTACTATTCTGCTTAACGTATTGGCCTGTATAATCAGTTTAAATAAAAAATGAAATTATTGCAGATAGAGTATTTCCAATGTTATATCAAAAGGTGTAAGTATTTTCTCCAAAGTATTCCTTTTCTAATATAATTTCAACAAATCTGAGTATTTCGTTTATAAACTGTTTCTTTACCAGTATCGTCTGTATTAAATAATCTAAGATAACCCACTAATATTTACAATTTCGGCGTATTTTAGGATAGCTGCATATAAAGATCATTTTACATCTTGTCTTCCATTGTGCAACTCTGCACTTAACAAGAATCAGCATTTTCTAACCACAAAGCATTAGGAATCATTGTCACGTATACTATTGCAAAGTAAAGCATTAAATGGATTGTTAAAAATAACTCTCGAGTTTTTGTTTACAAACTTTTAAGGTACTCAAATTACAAAGGTTTTAAAGGCATATGGTCTTAAAATTCTAGTTTTCACCTTGTCATGTGACAAATACAAAACAATGAAATGTTTCACCGTTTCAGAACATTCACTTGTCAAGTCGTCAGAGAACTGATTCCTTAATAAGAGTAGTTTCTAAACTAAATCCAAAGATAGATATACTCCTTAGGGATAAATTGTACCAAACTATTAAAACATTTACAAATTGATTGGTTCTTGAGTAACTTTTACATTCAGCTTTACTAGCCCAATACCATCCAATTGTTGGAAAATTTGTTGACAGTAGTTTACAGAAACCAAGGCTCGTTTTTTTGTATGTAATGATTACTGTATTTTCACACACACAAATATTAACGGATTTCCATGAAGACTTGGATGACTTGTTGAAAATTGATCGTCTTTTGTTTGTCTTGATAAAAAAAAAACATTCTTCTTTTTCATGCTAAGATAAAAAAAACCCAACTCAAATACAAGTCTTAGCTAATATAGTTTGTGATTTTAGATACAGGAACAACACGTATTTCATAGGACTTCAAATTGTTATTCAATTCAACGATAAAAGTGATTATTTAGGATCATAGTTTACCCTTGACTTTTTTTTTCAGTTTAAATACCATAATATTTCATAATAAAAAGTAATACACTTCATGCGCTTCTAAGAAACCAGGAATATCTATAAGAAAGGAATATAAATATTACTTTCGTGAAAGTTCTGACACACAATTGCTTACATATATTTTAAAAAGTTAAAAAGGCTATTTTATTTTGTTTCAAATTTTTATAAACAATTATTATCGAAGATTACCGAATTGATTTATTTGTTTTGTATGAAGACTGGTCATCTTTTGGTAAGATACTAATTTTTAGCTACTTCTAATACAAAAAAATAAAAAAATACAAATCTCACATATGTTAAAATAAACTGGTATAAACTATCACCAGATAAAATGAAATCAGTGAATGTGTTACGAAATGACCGTTTTCACAATATCAATATAATATAAATTTTCCATAACGAGAAATTTAATTTCCAATTTTCATTATAAAACGTTCTTATCTTTAAAACCAAGTGTCCACATTTCAGTAGCCAAAGGAAGTCCTCATACGATGAAAAGACCAATAGATACCTCCTTGTTCGGTGAGTAGCGAATCTATGTCAAATTTTTTATGGTTTATGACATAACACACACGCCCTCATTACCAACACTACAACGTCATTTCCCTTTGGAATTCTCACTATTAGGTTATTGTCACGAGTACGACGTCATTTTCTGTGATTATTGCGTCACCTGTAGAGCATGAAACACGTGCTCAAATACTAAATTTTATCATACGAGTTCAATCTTTTAGGCTTTCTGTTTTATACATATATCTAACTTTTCACATTTATCTAGAGACACCATGACAAAATCATATCCCGTTCGAATAGTACATGGCATCAGAAAAGGTAAGTTTTTCTAAATAAGTACATTATATTATCTTACTGTAATAGCTTTCACCATAATAATAATGTTATCATCTTCAGTGTTATATGCATATTTAACAAAGCCTATGCATGTATGAAAACCCCAATAAAAACAGAGATTTTGTCAATCAAAATGCAGAGAATAGAAATCAATAAAGTATGCAATGATCTACAACACATTTAATGTTTTCTTACAAAATACTTAACGAAATAGCTATGACCAAGTTATTCATACACAGAAAATATTAGACAAACATTATAATGCTGTCATTTGAATTTCGAAATACAACTACGAGTGAATAAAAACGTAGATATTTCGTATACATCTTGAACAGTTATACACTTATTAACATATAATTTACAATATGCACATAATGTACGTAAAAAATTGAAAGATGACCAAATAACTCAACCACTTTCAAATTTTGGTCGATCTTTTGGGTTCTTACTATTTTTCTAGTGGTCGAAGATGTTATTTTACATAGAAACGGCAAACATTATTTTATCATGAATGGCCCATTCTTATTACACATATTATTTTGGGATGGGTTTGTTCATATATGAATAAAGGATCCCATAGCAATGGCACTTAGGAATCACGGTTTTATTTCCCTTAAACTGAATATCATCAAAAAAATTCTACTACCCTGTAGAGGGCGGTGTATCCACAACATCTTGCTCTTAATTGATCGACAAAAACGCAAGCTTCTGTCACGCGTTCCATGAGGGCAGCACATTCACAAAGAAGCACATAGGTAATCCCACGATCAGGACAAACTTTCTTGTGGAAAGTGATCCGACGTAGACCTAATCGTTGAGGTAATCGCTTGTAGATCAGTCTTGCACCTGTCCACATCAACCAACTACGTTCGAGCTTTTCTCGATCTTCCCCCGGAAGCACCCTAAAAGCCGAAATGATATAGCCTGTCTTATTTGATGACGGTGTTTTCGGGAGCACATCTATCGGTGGTCTGGCGATCGTGGCAACTTCTTCGTAGCCAGCTAAAGTAAATCAATGTAATAGAATTGATAAAGAACATCTGATACTAAACAATTTCTATTTTTCATAAATTTGGTAAATATCCATTCTGAAACAGCTGCATATTTCTTAAGTCTAAATGTTGTTACCCTTATTTCTATTTCTATCAATACGTCAAAACAGATGTTTTTTTTAAATATATTTATACTTTGTTTTCTCAAAAAGTTATGAAAAGCTCCACAAAGGCTATATTCACATAGCTGTCCCTAATTTCGATAAATTAGAAATGAGATAAGGCAGCCAGTCAATAGCACTCACTGTTAGCTCTAGGGATGGATACTCTTTTCTGATCTAATAGTGGGTTATGACCATCACCCTCATAGCATACACACGGCTCCAAAGTACAGAGCGTGCTTTTGCGGCAACAGGTTGTGAGCCGTGAATCCTGGAATTCACGGTTGTAGCTCATATTTGTATATATATATTGTTACGTATCTGGTCGTTTGTTAATTTCCGGTATAAATTCTTCCCGAGGAACTTCAGCGATACAAGTCCTTTCTTAAATAAAACTAGTTTATTCTTTCTCAATACAACTTTGCAATACACAGAATTTCCACAGTCACTTTAACTTCAAAACACACGTTATAATTCACAACGATTTACGCACATTACTTACGGTCACTACCACTCACTCGACTCAATTATCTGTCTCTATCTCCATCTATCTACAATTATTTGCCAGGCTTATATACTAAAATAGAGGGCGCCTAGAAAAGACTAGAGTTGCCAGGAAAAGTCACGATCCTTCGAGAATCTCATGACGTGTTACCAGCGTCACGTGACTTCCGCTGTCGTAACAATATCCTAAAAAATGACCACACAAAATATACTGTATAACCTTTGACTTGATCTACAGTAGCAGAAAGTGACAACATGCTCATGCCTACTGTCCAACGAGTATTATGCCAGATAAAAGGTAAAAAATTTCACTGTGTTTTAAGTGGTTCTGAATATGTTTACGTTTGGTAATTTTTCGTTTGGTGTTACGCAAAATTGCGTAAAAATGTATTATTAGTTGTTGACTTGACAGTCATTAAAACTCAATATAATGAAAAACCTAGCACCTTCCATCCTGATGTCTGGTGCAAAAAAGTTATTTTTGAGCTCATATATATACGAGTTTTTTTATTTATTCTATCCCTCTTAAATGTCTTTTCCTTTACATTAATTGTTTTTCCTTTCTTATTGCCAATTGCTTTTCATTTTTCTGATTGTTCACTTTTTTTTTGGTTTGAATTTACTTTTGTTACTTATTATTTCCCTCCCCGTTTCTTTAAGTCTTAGCATTTATTGAATTTACTTTTGTTACCTATTATTTCCCTCCCCGTTTCTTTAAGTCCTAGCATTTATTCTTTAACTTATTTGATTATTTCTATTCACTCTTTTCTGTCACTTTTTCCAATATTTACACCAAGCTCGACTGTTAAATTTGTCCATACTTTTAGATATACACATAATTTAAGAACAACAAGGAACCTGTTGGTTCATCTACGCTGTACCAAACAAAAATAAAACTCTCAAAGCCAGTTCTTATTATTCAAATATTCATCAAGCTTACCCTTAAACTCTCCTAAATTAACTGCATCTACCACATCTGAAGGCAACCATTTCAAAAGCTAACCACCCTGTTAGAAAAGTAAAGCTGTCTTATGTAGATAATAACTCCCACCCTGCCAAAATACATACTTGTATCCCCTAGATTTGCTATTCTCACTGTTAAGTATGGAAAAAGATTATGCATCATTACTATCCACTTTCTTAACAATATTAAACACCCAAACAGATTCCATATAACTCTTCTTTTTTAAAGAAAAAACTTTAGAGATTTTAACCTATCTTTGTATGACAAACTTTCCATCTCAGGTCTCATCCTAGTAACCCTCCTCTGAACCATTTCCAACCATTCAATGTTCCTCTCAAGGTAACGAACCCAAGACTGAATACATCACTCCAAATGTGGCCTAATCAATGACCTACACAATGAAATTATAACTTATTTAGACTTGTATTCGGTATTTCTGTACATTCAATCTAAACTCCTATTTGCTCTGCCGCTAGTAAACGCATATTTCTTGGATGGCTTAAGAGACCTATCAACCAGAACTCCAATGTAATTTTTCTTCAATAGCACTGTTAAAGTTACTCCAATCAAAATTGTATTGATAATTCAAATTTTAATATCCATATGCATTATCTTGCATTTATTATAATAATTAAAAGCCACCTGCCTTTTATTCTCCCAACTCAACAAATATTTCAATACCTTTTGTAAATCAGCATCACCCTTCTCACAGCCAGCAACACCCAAAACTTTAATATCATCAGGAAATTTAAATAATTTATTTGTCATTCTTTCATCGATGTGATTGATGTAAATTAAAAAGTATAAAGGTCCTAACACAGGCCTGAAGTACCTCACTTATAAAATTAATCCGATTTAACCGAATTTTATTTATAACAACCCTCCAGCCACTTTTCTCTCTGATGAGCCAACCTATCTGTCACACCTAAAAGATAATTTTTTAACAAGCCTCTTATGTGGCACCTTGTCCAATACTTTCCGAAAATCCACATACACCATATCCACACATCTACCTTATCTACACAAGTAGTAACCTCTTCAAAATATGTAAAAAGATTAGTCAGACAAGGTTTCTACTTAGTGAAATCATGCTGACAATCAAACAATGTTTTAAACTTTGATAAATAACTTTGTAAAACGTTTTTTTTCAAATATTTAATACGTTTCCCATCACTGGTGTAAGACTAATAGGCATATTATTACTGAGGCAATATTTATTGCCTCCCTTGAAAAGACGAGTAACATTAGCTAATTTCCAATCTTCTGATTCCTTCTCTCTATACAAGGACGTAGGAAAATAGTAGCAAGTGGCTCACACATCCGATCCTTAACCTCTTTCAAAATTCTTGTGTAAAATATTATCTGATATAGGAGATTTATCATTTTTGAAACTTCTATTATGTAATAAGCTCAGTAATTCTTTCTTTTCTTCTCTTTATCTTTCATTTGTCTTACAAATTTCTCCTCTTTCATAGGCTCGTTACATATTCCATTCTTTTCTTTATTTCACATTTTAACCATATCTCTGTTTCTCTATCTGCTCTTAACATTCTAGCTGTTTCTCATATTTTTTATCAATTCATTCTTTTTCATTTGTATATTTTTTGTGATTATGTTTTCTAGCGCACGTTTTTATAATTTCTATCAACATTCAACTGGTTTATTTCATTCATCTCACCTGTTTTCTCCACTATTCTCTTATGTTTAAACATCAATATCTTCTCTACATTTGTTTCTCGCACAGGTTCTATTTTCCATAGTTTTCACTTTTTTGTTTTACTGTCTCGTTCATTAGTCCCACCTATTATTATTTCAGTTTTTCATATTCCCTAGTTCTTCTCTTTGGCTCTTCTTCTCTCTTTTCTCACATACATTAATTTTCCATTCATTTTTATCAACATGTTTATAACTGATTTTAAAGCTTAGTTTAACTATTAATACTCTGCCACTTTCTCTCACATGTCTTAGCCTATTTCTCTTAACTTATCTCCTTTTATTTCGCTCTTAGTTATTATGTATTTTCTATATGTCTTTCATAACTCTCACCTGTTCTTTATCTCTTCATTTATACCATTTCTCTTACTAATCGGTCGTTTTCCTGATTAGCAAGTCTTATTATGGAATATCTTGAATACCTTTTTCATTCTCCAACTGCTTTAGGTATGCAACAGTCGGAAGGATATATCATAAATGCAATTTGTATACAGGTGATATACAGATATTATTCTTGATTATCTTGCTTAGTGTTGCCTGTGGTACAGTAACGACATTTGTCACTGACCTCTGTATTCGTAGATTCTCACCTGATACAAGACGTCACACTTTTCATAAGGCCTTTTTATAAATGGATCTGGCCTGGAGTGGTGGTTAAGGCGTTCGACTAGCGATCTGCGGGTCGTAGGTTAGAATCTCATCACCTTACACGCTATGGAGACGTTATAATATGGTGGTCAATCGCACTTTTCGTTGGTAAAAGAGTAGTCCAAGAATTTTTAAATTTCAGATGGGAAAGTGAATAATTATCGTGTTTGAGGTGCTTGAGAAACACGTTTCAAATGCCGTTCTCATCAAATTTCGGTTTAAAATGGCAATGAAAGCATATTAAGTTGTCCAACAGTTTGCCTTATTAGCAATTCGAACAATTCCTATAAGTTTAATTAAAAGGGTTTACAAATAATCCAAGGAAATTCAGAACACTTTTCAGTGTAACTGGATAGATACAACGCATATAGAAAACCTAGTTAAATCGTTAAGTAACAAAGTCGGCTTACAGCATTTTCTGTCTTAGGACGACGTTAAGGGGTTTTAAAGGTGCACCATTCATTATGTAGTTATCTAAACTTTTCCGGTTAATTATTGAAACGAAATTTAAAATTTTACAAAATAAAAACAAGAAAATAGAAATATCAGATTGTTTTTCGAATGTGTTTTCAGGGGTATGACTTTTACGTGTATAGTGGTGGAAAAATTTATTGCATCACCCAATTTTTTCACACTTTTCTTCGGAATCATCATCTATTTTGAAGCCATAAAACATGTAGGTGATAATACGTTTAAGGGATAATGCACTACTGTCTAATTATTACATCAACAATTTTATAGAATGTCTGGGTATTGCATCAGCCATTATTTGGCTATAAATAGAAGTTCTTAGAGGAAGTCAGTTTATAAACCTATCTGCAACAACATATATGTGATGCTATATACAAAGACTGTTCTCAGTTCATACACGAAGTCTCTTCATATAGTCTCCACTAACATTTGAAGTTCCCTTGTTGGTCTCGTGTAGGATATCTGATAGGGGTTTATCTTGACTGGATCCTGGTCGTCGTTTTGATCTTGTGTTACACAAGGTCTGTTTTGTCTGGCCCATCTGTGAAT